TATATGAGCACGATCCTATAAATATACTTCAGACTACACACAATTTAGGTACTTGTTCAATAATTTAACGTAAACGTAAAAGTATTAAATAGGAATGTGATAATATTTATTAAGTATTTTAAGGACCAGAGTCAACTAAATTTTTTGTACATTACGTGGAATATAATTCGTTCGAATTTTAATTATTGTAAAAAGTGAACGCATTATGACTCATATATAGGTGTCTTAAAAAGAAGATAATGATAGATTAACGTTGTACTATATATTATACATACCTGCAGTCATTAATATAGATTATAAATMCAAATTTTACAGTTAATTTACTATAATATAATATATAATAAGTATACTAATTTATTGTGACTAATCACCTTTGCTGCTGATGTCAAATATATATATATATAAAATAAATGTATCAAAAATATCAGCGTAAGTATTTATTGTATCAACACATCGTTAACATTTTCTATACCATAAGAAACTTATTTACAGGTTGTATATAAACGTATTTGGTCAAAATTGCAAAGGTTGCAAACTTTTTGAATTAACAYCATAAGTATTTTGACGAATAAAAATTATGGTTAATCGATGAGCCTTTATTTTAGCATCGACAAAACTAATAAAGATACCTATATACGACTTGTATGTTTTATAAATATATAGATTTTTTTAAATGTAATAATTGAAACTTAGACCATCAGTCGCTTTTTGAATAATCTAGAGTATTAATATTTATGTTTTTCCACAATAATGCATTATAGATGGACAAAACTATTTTTCAATACACCTTACCCTACAAAAAAAAAAACTCGTTGCGAATAATATAGTAATGGTCAAGTATTATTACAATCCCATATATATGGTAAACTTTTGGAAGACTCTTATTGGTTTATTTACGATCAATTTCAATACAATGGTTAATACGGTAAAACATCAAGCTAAGACTACAAGTGTGTATTTTACGATAGCCGTATGCCYGTATGAGTCATTTTGATGTAAAACTCAAGACTTTTTTACTACTTTGGTATAAAAGGATGATTGTATATAATGTAAAATTTAATCTTTGACGAGATTCAATGAAGATAAAAATCTATGACTGTAATAACGTGACATATATATATATACAATGACTAAAACACTATTATAGACTGGATTTTCATATTATAGATCTTAGGTGTTTAGGTTAAACTACAAATGATGACAACTGACAACATTATAATTTTAGTTAAATATTTTAAATCAACCTCCGCAGATATTGGCGCAGAAAGTACCTACATTTCCATYATACTAGACCGTTCTTCTTAGGATTACTCTCCTGCATACAACCCCATCAGCATGTAGAAGATGGGAGAAGATAACAGGCGTGACGTGTGTATTTATTGTACAGGTATAGTGATATTATTGTTACAGAGAAAAAATATGTATTATAATCTATAATTATTATATGATGATGTTGCTTCTTAATAGTTTATTTGTTCTCGCGAGATTTTATTAGGAAACAAAATTGTAAACAGCCCTCGGGCTCGACCAAAAGAGAAACAAGCGTAGCTATGTATCATGTATGCACATATACTATGTGTACCTGCACTTATASATGTTGAACATCTAAAATACAATGCACCGACGAAGGGGTGGGCATGAAGATGGTGCATATTGGGAGAGTAAAAAGATAGATTAATATATTATATTATATTATATATTATGTATATAATATATTACACGTGGACGGCGGTGGGGCCGGCCTGTGCAGCTGCAACTTGGGAAATAAAACTCGGCGGCGTCGCGCGCCACCGCAGTTCCGTCCGAGACCGGTGCGCGCGGTCATGTGCGAGTGTCGTTGCAGCGGAGCAGTTGCCTGCCGCCGAACGAGAGTGTTGTCCACGTGCGTCGTCCAAATCTCGTTAATTTTTCGAAACAGACGGATGGCGGCCTACACGACTCTGTAGATGAATATAATATTTATTTATTTTTTCGAAACCATTTCGGAATTTTGCACGTCGACTCGTGCACGCCCATCGTAAAATTACTATTRATAATAACTATTTTACTTAAATAACATAAAAATAACACGTCATATTATTGAATAATATAATAAATTCGTAATACTCGCGTGGACGCGACTGCCGCTGACAAATCATACTACAGCGAAACCAGTGACGATAATCACATCGGCGCCATATCGCATTGTTACCGCGGTTACATATTTCAAAATACAGGGACGTGTCATGACCGCGGCCCCGCGAGTTTTGGCAATGGCCACTCTGCTGGTGGTCGGGGCTCAGACGCTGTCCTACGGCGGCGCGGACGGCCGTCACACGGCCACCGGCGTTGAAAGGTACTCGAAACTCGATCGGTTCCTGCACGATCGGCTGGGCCTGGCCAGCGTTTTCGGCGGCGGCGGTGTCAGCAACCGGCCCAGTCCGCCGGCGCCGACCACCGATCGGGGACTGTTGTCCAGGACGGCTGCGGCCGTACCCGAAGACGAGGATGACGATGGTGCGGATAACGAAGAAGACGATGATGACGACGATGACGATGAAGATGAGGAGGAGCAGGACGAGAAGAACCAAGTGACTCCCGGGGTGTTGGTCAGGCTGCGGCACAGGAACGCGGCTGCGGTTGCAACCGCGGTGGCGGCCGAGAAGGACTTAGACGTATACGGCAAGGTAATAATAATATCTGATTAATAATCATAATTTTATTGTACATCGATATCTGCACGATCTGCACGGGTTAATTAAAATAATGCATATTGCACATTTCATTTATATACACGTTGAAATATAATTTATGGTCCGAAACGGAAATTTTCCTTTTCCACCAAGTATATAGAGTTTCTATTTTACAACGTGAAACGAATAATATCCAGTTTAATGTAAAGTAATGTAACGTCTTACTATTAAAAAAAATAAAATATTATAAATGCGATGGAGTACCTAGGTAAATTTTTTTCAATAAAATTAATAAAGTAAAGTAAATTTTGTAACTGATTTTTTTTTTTTAATTTTATTACCTATATTAAACTGTTTTCAATATGAATTGCTTGCATTAAGCTGAATTTTACTTGCATAACCCAACATAATCGGAGTATAATAAATTAATAAGTATAAAATTGGACAGAGATAAATGTATATTAGGTATATTATAACAAATCAGACGTAGGTATAATGGCTATAAAGACGAAAAATCCCGACAGTTATGCTATGTGTTCCCCGCGCTCACCTTTCGAACAATAGTAATTACAGGGTTAAATGATCGTACCGTAAGCTGTATTCGTGTATACGAAGATACATCGTGACAGTAATTATTTATGTGCAGAGCGTGCGCATTATAATATATATCTTAAAGGAATGTCCCTGCGCGATACTCGTGAATAATAATTATCCGTGTATAATCGAAGGTACGATATATGTTGCAGCGTGCACCTAAATGCATATTAAAGGTATATCGCTGTGCGATGTGCAGTATGACAAATAACGTTATGTGCTTGAAGAGCATTGCAATATAATCCAGTAGATTGTTCGGTATAAATGTTACAAAATACACATCATCAATATATATCATGTAGTATCAAATATGACGTATACTATATAATATGCAGTCATGTAAATATCGAGCATTGTGCATGTAGCATTTTAAAACACACGTAGATGCATACCTGTATAACTATTAATATAATTCAAACGATTCTAAACACATTTKTCATTATTTACAATATTTACATTAATTATTTTTTTACTAAAAATCAAATGTGTAACCAAAAAAAATACTGAAATTAAAAATTATTACATTAACAACTTATATTTATGTTTTGCAATTATTTAAAAAGTTAAAACAATATGAATGTTAGTGTAATCTATTKGAATGTTTATCTACGCACGAGGCCAATAATATTATGAATGACGCGAGTAAATTTAAATTGATAAACGATACTAATTACTAATTTTTAATGAATTATTTTATTTAATTTACTAATTAACGACCAATTAATCAACATTTTGATATTTATATATTTATTTAATTTTAAAATACCTATGCATTATTTAAACATAATGACAAATTGAATTTTAAAAATAAAAGAAATTCATACTTACAAAATATTATATTTAAAAAATACCTTTACACATWTTATGACGAWTATTTTTGCTGTATCCAATCTTTAGTAACATAAGGATTTAACCAAAAAAATTATTTTGGTAACTTTGTGATTCGTCTAAAACCAATGCAATAACTAATAACAAATATTCTGACTTGATTTGAAATAAATTTATGTTCCATGTGCTTTTTTTCGATTACTACCTATGTGACATACGAAATAATAAAATACTTTTGAAAATTACTTAGTACTTAATAATTATTCAACTAATGATATAAGCTAGACTGGTATTGCTGCAGGCTTCCGTGAAATGATTTTTTTACCCTAAATTATACGTAATTTGTATTTTGGAAACATTCGGAATTTAAAAAGACGGTAAATGAACGTGAATGGACGTAATATATTCAACGTTTTTATTTTTAGCTTTCAAACTAAATTTCAAATGTTGTCTTTCATGTTGAATTATGTCGAATCATATTGGTGTGACATGTGTGTTTTATTTATAATATTTTTAAATAAATAATAAAATGTGTAAAAAAAATGTGTAAAAAAAATGTACTAAACGTTTAATAAAAGAATATATTACCTGTATAAATGATAATAAAATATATTTATTTTACCAAGTGCAGAGTTCAATCATAAGAACCAATCATATTTTATAAATTACTTATAATGCAATTTATACATAACACACCTACAAGTTTATTGCTGTTTTTTCAACGGTTTAGATTTCATTGTTATTGGTAATCTGCTGGTAATGTTAGATCAACGAATTTCACATGTAAGATGAATATAAATTATAAAGATAAATGTGGAGATTTGAATCGTGAACGAAAATAATATGATTTTTAGGAAACATCATGACTAGGAATAACTAAAAACAATATTTTTTCGATTTAAACAATAGGTACATTATARTTTCGATGAAATTTTTATTATTTTTTACGTGAAATATTTGGTTAATCTTGAAAATTAACTTATTCATTAAGGTTTACGTCTTAATATTTATAATTATCGTTAAGTTGCAAAAAAATTCAGGTACATAATATATTATACTATAATATGCATATTTATAGATACTTACGTATGATGTATAGCAAGTGAATAAATCATATTATACCATTTATACCCCTAAGGCATATTAATAATTTCGACCTTTAAACACTCGTAATGATTAATAATATTTCGCGAGCTCACTTAATGTCTGAAGTTTTTTCCGTCCATCATCGGTTATCCGTTTTTGTCGCATTCCCACGCATATACGCATAACATACGCATATACGCATAACATACGCATTACGAACGTCTTTTCGTGCGATCCTGTGCTACAAGACGCAGACAAATAGCACAATCTTAATATTTTTTATTTTTCAAACGAGTCTCACGTGAATTATAATAATATTGTTTACGAGTGAAAAGTGTTGGCGACCGCCGACTAGCATCTATTCGATATTATACACTCGAATTGCCGACCGCACTCGAAGCGGTTAAACTATTAAATTATTATATACTAATATTATGTATCGTGTATTTATCTAAAACACATATTTGTTTTCTCGAAAATTAGAACAACAATAAAATGATATGTAATAAATAAAATCTGGTATAATTTTCAGTGCCTTAAGCCGAAAATCTTTAAGAGAATTCGTACATGCGATTTTCTCAATTACATCGTAAAAGTTTACACGAATTTGGAATAATTTTCGGAACATTCACCACGCCTCGCCTGTCGTAAAAAAATCTTACGTCCGTTGAATCCAAACTCTTTGCTACTATACTTACTTCGACGGTGCTCCAAATCGTGTCTTCGAATGCAACAGTATCGATCTCCATTTTCCACATACCGTCGGCCGGCTGCAACAATGTTCGTACGAATCGTACTATATATCCGTCCAAATTATAAACTATACCTATTATTATTATTTTCAGAACCGAGCACTACCATATAATAATATAACATTTATATACGAGCTCTTTGAGTCTGTGAAATTCACAATATATAGAGTCCCAGACTGAGGCCGCAGCCGCTACAGACTATCGTGCAATATATTATATTAGGTATTTATACTGTCCGATTGCGCACAGTTTTGCAGTTTCTGGGATGGTTTCCAAAAATATATCATCCTCATAATATACATTGCTCTTACTATTTATTTAATCGACATAAATCAATCGCAATTTCTGTACAGTATTGGCGTATATATGCATGCATATTACACATTATAGTTTCGGTTCAGCCCCTGAGGTCATTGTATAATATATTATTTAATTCTACACCACGATTATGTGGCGTGTATAAATCGAGTTTAGAATTAATTTCAATTGTCGATATTGAATTATTATTACTAAGCTTAACAGGTCTACTTACTTTATTTTCATCTTTCCGTGACGTTTCCAACCGTTCCTACACAGTTTTAATTTTATGTATTATAAAAATAAATATTATATTATATATATACTTAATCGACCACTAGACTGATATTTAGCCAAATAGCTTATAGTCGTCGGAAAGTAAATCACGAACACATTATTTTAACGATTCGTCACGGTTCCGTTATATAAGAATATGCTGTATAACATGAACGTTTTAGAGAAAATATCGATAATTATTATGATTATTACACACTATAAGTAAATTGGATAGAATTCTAATTTATCGAAAGATTTATTTAATAATTATGGTTTTAACTTTTAAAACCGTTTTACGGAAATTACACACTCGCTTTCAGAGTTGTAAACGGACAAAATAATAGTTAATAGTCAATAACTATATGTCTATATATTATATTGTATGTAAAAAAATACAACAGAAGTACACTGTTTTGATGAAAACACGCAATTTAATTTATTACGAATTAACGAGAAATATGCAAACCTTTCATTTTTACAGTAATAATAATATATAGTTTTTTTTACAGAGATGTATATATTTACATAATATATTCAATGTTCATTTAATAAACTAATTAAAAAATCCATTAGCTAAAATCTAAGAAAAATCTTTTTAATAATAATAATTATATATTAAACGGATATTACTTATAATATTTAAAGTAGTATAAATAGGTAGCCAGCCAGGTACCTAGTTTTGTTTTATGCATTATGTTAATCAATAAGAATATAATAAAAATCGTATTATATTGACATCTTATTTAATTTACTCATGCCAAAGTAAAAGTTTAATTTATATTATATTAAATATTTAGAAAAATATAAAATCATGTAGTTATCAACATCACTTTCAATAAAGTAAATATTTATCTAATTTCATAAAATATGTCTTATAATTATATACATATATTTTAGTACTTAAATATATTATTWATGTATTATCTATAGTGAAATTTAAATTACGATGAACAATTACAATGGAATTTATCAATGTTTTCAAACTTCTACTAATCTTTGAATCCAAATACACCTTTTAATTTTGTCGGTTTATAAGTCAATAATATAGATAATACTAAAAATATTTTATTCACTATAGTCACTATCAACTACTTAATGTAGCCCTCTTAACAATTTGATGATTAATAATGTCATAATCCATAAATAAAAAAAAAATAATAA